CTTGGTGTTGCGAGCAACGCCGACGAGTGCAGAGAGCTGTTTTTAGCGCGGAATTGCATTCGATTTTACTTTTGCCATGGGCCCCAAACTTTGTTATTCATGCTTGGCTTCGGGCCTGGGTGAAGCTTGATATCCACATGATGTTTTGAGGCATTGTTATTTCCGTGAGGTTTTACGGATAGTTTCGGACCCTATGGCACGTAGAGGTAGGAAGGCGGAAAGACATATACTTGGACGTGGTGCGATGTGCGGTGCGCCACGCGCTCGTGCGAGAAAGAGCGTGCACTGCTTGCAGCGTCGTTCGTCAAGCTTGAGGGGAGCTCGAAAGAACTGTCGCATCCTGCTGCAGAGAGTTATCTTCTCAAGCAGGGCCTGATCAGATTAGGGGGAAGATAAAGGGGGGGATCACCCGTACAGATAGGAAAGTCGGGCAAGGAAGGAATGGGGCGGGTGGGAACGGCATGGAGGGACGCCTACACGTGGAGCATGGAAACTATGCTTAAAAACTCCCGCGGCCCGCGAGGCCGAGGATGCGATATAGGCATTTGTATGTTCAGCATCGGTCCAATCACGAGTTGCGTGTATATAATTGTATATAACACTGTTTGCTCGTATAGTTTCCAATGCGTGATTTCGGGCGTCCATCGGCCGTGGTGCATTCCAGAGCCGCTCTTGCTCGAGAGGCTGTAACTTGGTGCGCCGCACCTCGGAGCTAGAGATCCTCCGGTCTGCGCGCGTCTATCGCGATGAGTTCTGGGCGGGCAGCTGCCGCCCGAATGCTTCTGCAAGATCTGCCTGCAGCTGCCTCTGGAATGCTGCCGCGGCCGATGGATATGGACCCAGAGGTGGGATTGGCAAAATCAACACCCACAGCAAATCCCCCTGAGAGGTTGAGGGGGACGGAAGGGGTGGAGGCGAGGATGAAGGAGGGAGGAGATGGACGAGGAAGTTGTTATCCGAGCACGGTGACCCCCAACGTTCCTGGGATATGCGTGGGGAAACGATTTTGCTGAGACCGATCGCAGGATGGCCCTCTCGAGAACGATGGCGGCGCTGGGTTGAGGGAATACTTGCTGAGCAGATGGAGAGAGGGGAAAGTCACCAGCAAGGACGCATGGCTAAACACGCCACCCCGAACATAACCACTCGGATGACCGCCAACGGTTTCTGGAGGCGTGGGAGGGAGATGGGAAGGCGGGGGAAGAGGAACAGAGTGGGTCGACGGACGGTGGGAGTGAGCAGAAGGAGGAAGTGAGAGGACGGGGAGGGGGGAACAGACATGAACGGAAAAGAACTGGATATTCTGAGGGGGGCGTTCGGGCGCGGGTGTGTTTAGCCATAGGATGCATGCACAATCGCGTGCCACACGATGAGATCTGGTGGAACGGGCGTGGGGGATTTGGCCCTGCACCCCGAGAGCACCCATCATACGGAGCACATCAGGAATGCGCTGAATTTGAATAGTGGTGATGCTCTCTTCAACACGCCCATCCCTGTATGGGACAAAGTGACAGAGGCGCGAGTCGAGATCGATTTCCCGTTTTCTCTCCCTCACGAATCCTGCGCAGCAAGCTTCGCAGCCAATCCCGAAGATTTCAATTTGCAGGATCTTGGGCCTGATGAGATACCACCCCAGTATCAGAATCATCCTGTTACAGTTGCTCATGGTAACCTATATTTTCCCATCGGCTTTTTATTCAGACGGCGTGCCGATTTCAAAAAAAGACACGTTCCTGTGTTTTTACTGGAGTAACATAAAATCGCAGAGGCGGCACATTATCACAGCTGTTCGAAAATCCGATTGTTGTTGTTGCGGCTGTAAAGCTGCCTGCACGATCGGTGCCATCATGCGCGTTATAGCATGGTCCCTGAACGTCCTGGCAGGCGGCATCTTTCCTTCAGTTGATCACAACAATGAACCGTTCTCAAACGAGAACCGCGAAATCAAAAGAGGCTTGGAGTTGGCATGCGGCCTTCGGGGGGCACTGGTTGAGTACAGGGCTGACCTCCTGGAGTTTCAAACAGCACTCGGAGTAAAAAGATGGGACCACGTACAACATCCGCGCTTTCTCTGCGACGTCAGAAAAGAAGATTTATTTAAGTATCCACGTTCCCGCGCTGATTGCACGTGGAGAGAAAAAGACGAGGCGATGCATAGTGAAATGGTTCGCGCTTGTGTCAAAACGGCCCTCATCACAGACGAGACAGAATTGAAAACGCTAGTCGACTGCATGAGACATGATGAGGATATAGGGGGGTACGGCCTCTGGCGAGCCTGCCCAGCTTTAGGGTTGAGCTCGGGGTGGCGTCTGCTGCAAACAGGTCCCGTCAGAGATACGTACAAAGTCATGGAAATCCCGTGCTCGCCTGAGGAGCCAGCAGAGTTTACATTTTTTGACTCTGCCAACCAAGTTGGCCTCAATTTCGTGGCACCCATATTTTCTGTCATTGGTTTCAGCATCGCAATGCTGGCGCTGGACATAATGCATGTCGTGGACCTTACGGTTCGAATTTTTATTACAATTTTTTGGAGAAGGCCATCCCCGACTTGACAGGAAAACACGCCAGATCTCATCGTGTCGGGGAGCAGGGAGCGAACGAGCGAGCAGCACCGCGCGCGCCTTGGAGCTGCCAGGGGGCCGGCCTGGGTGCCCATTCCCTTTGTCTGCTTGAGGGGGGAGGAAGGAGGGGCCAGGAGGGAGGAGGGGAGAGAAAGGAAGGAGGGAGGCCTGGCACAGGACCAGGGGAGACGATGGACACGCTCTCGCCCGAAGGCGGATCCCAGTGCATTACCCCACTCGCCCTCCCCTTCCTGCTCCTCCATCCTTTCCCCCCCCACATCCCTCCCAAGGAAGGCCCTGGCGCAGGACCAGGGGCGACGATGGACGCGAGCTCTCCCGAGGGCGGATCCACGCGCCTCCCTCTGCCCCTCCTTCCTCTCCTCCTCGCCCACCCTTCCCGTTGCCATCCTTCCTTCCGCTTCCTCCCTCCTCCCTCCTCTCCCCTCCCCTCCTCCCCCTCCTCGATCCCAGGAACGGAGGGCGACGCTGCCCCTTCAATGGGGTTTGTCCTGCTCGTTGCTCCTCTTCCCTCCTTTTCCTCCTCCTCATCCGCCTCCTCCCCTCCTCATCATCATCACCATCATCATCAGTGTGATCATCATCACCACCATCACCATCATCATCATCATCATCATCATCATCAGCAGCAGCATCAGCATCATCATCATCATCATCACCATCACCATCACCATCACCATCACCATCGCCATCATCATCATCATAATCAGCATCATCATCATCATCATAATCATCATCATCATCATCACCATCACCATCATCATCATCATCATCATCATCATCGGCATCATCATCATCATCATCGCCACCACTCGTTGTAGCTCGAGCTGCGCGCTCGGGCCTGCGGGCGGCCATGGCGCAGCCGTCCTTCCCCGTTGGGTGCATCCGCGCGCATTGGGCATGGCGGGCCTATGCTGATAGTATACCCGTGGCCAGGGTGCTGGCTACAGGGGGCGGTCTGCGCGCTCGACTTGCACGGCCGCCCAGGCAACTGAGCGGGCCGCAACCCGCCTGCCTGATGGCACGCTGTGTGCCCGAACCGCCGAGCCTGCCGCCGCGCCCCCCCTCCCGCCACCCTTGGTGGGCGCCAGGCTGGGTGGAACTGCCCATGCCTGGGCCCTGCCGGCATGCGTGGCGGTTCCCAGCTGGGCGGGAAGAGGGCGTCCCCGAGCGCTTCGATCTTCATGCCCGCGCGGAGCCAGAGGCCGACAGGCGCTCTGCAGATCCCCGCTGGGTCTGCTTGGCGCGGTGGGCGTCGACGCCGACGTCACTCAGACGCTTCGTGGCCCCATAGGGGTTCTAACGAAAATCAGAGCGCCGAATTCACAGGCACTGCTGGTACTCGGTGCTCCTGGAGGAGGACGTGCTGGCGCTCGCTGGCGCCTAAAGACCGCGTTTTGGAGTCATGTTATGACTCATGTGATTTCTCCTCCTCCTTCCTCCTCCTCCCCTCTCCCTCCCTCCTCCTCCTCCTGACCCTCCTCTTTTCGCGGCGCATGGTAGCGGAGCGGAGTTCGCTTGCGCGGTGGAGGCCATTCGCCCTGCGATTCGCAGCTGGTAGCGGATCGCGCGAACTCACGCGTGGTAGCGGAGCGACGTGATGGTGTGATGTATACGTACCAGTGTATGTAGAATCGGATCAACTCCCTGCGTTACATTTTTTGTTTTCAACTTTGATTTTTCTGATAGTTTTGATTTTAAATTGTGTCTTCTGCGAGCGCTTCAATTACATTGAAACGCGTGGATGTCAGGGAAACCGACACGTGCATGAGAATTCCACGTGCTCTTGATGATTGGCTTCGATGCATGAGTTCATGCTCACGTTGCATGTTCGTTGTTGTGCGTTCATCGTGCCTGTGCATGTGCGTGTCGCTAATCACCGATGCCAGTTAAGGTTCGACGTTCATGGCGCCTGGCACGTGTTATGACCGATCACGGCGCGTGCCACGGCCGGATTGTCGGGTGAGAAAACTCATTCGGCCATTCCCCCGTCCTCCAACAACGCGGCCACCTCCGCGCCCAGGCGAGCTCACGCACGTCGCGCGTGGACGCGAGCTGCTGCTGCGCCGCGGCAAGCTGCTGCTCGAGGGCCTCCTTGTGCGCCACGCGGCTGGCCTTGGACATCGCGGTCTCCGCGCTGGCGGCGCCCTCCAAGTCCTGGCGTCAGAAAGCCGGGGAGGCCACAAAGCTCCCCCGCTGAGTTGTGCGTCCTGGAATTGCGTTGTCGCTGGGGTTCGTATGTTTACGGGGATTCTGGACCACTCGCGTCTGCCCCGGAATCACCGTAAACGGCCTCTGGATGTCTCCAAATGAGGAGCACTCCCTAATGAATCGACAGACGAAACGCCACATGCCCGCAAAAAGGTCCACGTGGCCCCCAGAAGGGACCCGCGACCCTGCGAATTACACCTCACCCCCTACCCTGTCCTGAATCAGCACCGCCGCGGCCTGGCTCAAGCGCGCAATCTCCGACGGGTCGCGGGCAGTCGAAAGGTTGCGCTGCACTTCGGCCAACCGCTGCTCGATTGCATCCTTCGCGCCCTGGCGCGCGGGCCCAGTCTGCGGCGGCACCGCCGGCGACGGCCCCCCACCACCGGCGGGCCCCTCCGCGAGCGGCAGCTCGGCCGGGCAAACGTCGATGTGAGCCGCGCCTGGGAACAGCAGCAAGACCGCGCCGTTGTTCGCAGGCTTCGCGCGATACACCAGCATTGGAGGTGACTGTCCGCTCAAGCGCAGGAAAAGGACGCGATTGCACAATTCATCGAATGCGCGGAAGCGCATGGTCTGGGGGTCCGCCCCGCGCGTTCCATCCAAGAAAATACCCCCCAGAAAGTCCACGACGCCCCTCCCATTCTGGGACGCGCCTGCATCTCCCACAACTGAGATCCGCACTCGTACGTTGCGATGTTCTTGAAGAGCCGCCCTGATGCCATTCTGATCTGACATAATGAACTTCGTGGCCGGCGGCAGCTCCATGGGGATCTCCGGGCTCGCACACGCGCGCGTCACCTTGGCGCCCACTGAAGGAACCAAATCGGGCTCGTTGTCGTCATAGGTGGACACCTCGAGATCCCACCAGCCCTTTAGGGCGCGAGTGGTTTAGGTAGCCCTCTCTGTCCTCAACCCCCTTCTCCCCCTTCGGGGAGGGGTTTACCCCTCCCCCTACCCCCTCCCCCTGGACATGGAGAGGCCCTTTCGCGGGTCGCCAGGGCGCCCAAGATGGCCCAAGATGGCGCCAAGGGGGCCCAAGAGAGCTCAAGGTGACCTCCAAGATCGCTCAAGATAGCCCTCGATGACTCAAGATAGCTCCCAACATGCCTACAAGACGCTCCAAGACCGCCCCAAGCAGCTCGAAGTGGTCGCGGATCCTTCCAAGGACGCCCCCGATAGACCAAAATTGTTCCAAAACCTAACGAAAATCGATGTTTTTGGCCTTCTCGCCTTTTCGCTTCCGACGGGCTCTTGAGGCCTCAAGATGGCCCCAAGATGGCCCCAGAGAGCTCCAAGACGAGCCCACGAGAGGCCCAGGCGGGCCCAAGAGCGCCCAATACCGCCCCAAGAGCGGCCCAAGAGGGCCCCAAGAGGCAACTCTTCGGGCCCCGACAGGGCGAGGGAGAAAAGTGCTCGCCCCTTCTTAGATCGATGGCCTCCAAGATGGCCCCAAGAGACCTCCCATACCCTCCCGAAGAGCCCTGAAAGGTATTGATGGCTGAGTCGTCGTCGTCGTCGTCGTCGTCGTCGTCGACGACGTCGTCGTCGTCGTCGTCGTCGTCGTCGTCGTCGTCGTCGTCGTCCGTCGTCCGTCGCCCATCGTCCGTCGTCCGTCGTCCGTCGTCCGTCGTCGTCGTCGCCGTCGTCGTCGTCGTCGTCGTCGTCGTTGTCGCCGTCGTCTTCGTCATCGTCGTCGTCGCGGTCGTCGTCGTCGCCGTCATCGTCGTCGTCGGGTGCGTCGTCGTCGTCGTCGTCGTCGCGGTCCTCGCCGTCGTCGCCGTCGCCGCCGCTATCTCCCCCCCGCTTCCTGTCGCCTTCTCTTCTTTCTCCTCGTCCGCCTCGCCCCCCACCCCACTCCCCCCACAAGGAGAACTAGAAGGAAGTAGGTGGGAGGTAGGCGGAACAGGAAGAGATATGCGAGGGCAGGAGGAGGCACGCCCGAAAAAAACACGACTGTCGGCATGCTTCGCAAAAGTTGCTGTTTTGTGATGGGCCGGTGGGGATACGCGAAGCGTGAAGAATTCGTCAGAAGGTACATCTTTTCTTTCTGCATCGTGGACAACAACCTGTTGCGCTGGTCGTTCAAAGCTTTGCAGGCCCAGGTGGCTGCCCCGTCTTGCACCATCACGACGCGCACAAGTTTCTTGTTCTTCGACATGTAGGGGAGAAGTGGCATGGTGACGCGCACGAGTACCGAGAACGCCACATCTTGTCTGGACAACCCCGCCAAGGTTCGCGTCGGTCGGCACGGGACCGGCACGGGCAGCACGTCGACTGCACTGCTCAAGCCTTGGCCTGCAAACGCCGAGGCGCCAACCGGAGGGGCGCGACGCTGCATCACCGCCACGCCGCGCCCTCACGCACAAGGTTCTGGCACCCAACACCTGGAGCGGACGCGCTGCGAGCCGGCACCGTGCACCCCTAGCGTTTCGAGCCCTTGCGAAAGGAGGCGCTCTTCCTCCTCTTCCCTGTTTTGACCCCCCCCTCCCCCTTGCCCCCCTACCTTTTTCTCCTTTTCGTCCTCGCTCTCGTCATCCACCCTTGCGTCATCCTTTTCTCCTCCCTCTACCTCGGATGCGGCTTCGACATTGGGCCCCCCTTGGGCCCTCCTAACGCCTCCTCGCGCCGACTTCCGAAAGGTTACGTTCACGTTGTTTTGCGTTTCCTGGGCTCGTGGGGCCGCCTCCCCCGACGTCCAGCGTCGTGATTCTTTCGCAACGTCGGACCCCGCAGGTCCGGAGGCCTTCCCCAGGGCCGTTTTTTTCATCCCGGGCTCGGCGAGGGCTCCCCGAAAGCCGAAAATATCGAGAAAATATCCCGGTCGCGGCTTTTTCACGACGCCCGAATCTGGGGGTCGTCGGAGCGAAATCGGCTCAAGTCGGTCCCCGGAGCTCTCCCGGGATCCCTCCGACACGGTTTTGCACCCCGGGCCTGACTTCGAGAATGCCCGGGGCCTGAAAACGGCCCCCAAGGGCCGGAACTACGACAAACCGAAATCGGCACAAATTTACGAAAATGAACGACAACTCTCAGAGGAGACCGCACCGTGGGCTTCCCAGGGAGGGGCGCGCGTCGATTCACCCCTCGGCCCTCCTGGGCACAGGGGCGCGCGACGCGACATCTTTGTCCGCCCCCGCCGGCCTCTTCCAAGGGATCGGCGAACAAAACGCAACCTCGCCATCGCTTGGACGCCCGCTCCCCGTGCATATTCCTTCTTCGCGCATGTCCCCCCCCCCCCCACGGCCGAAACCGGCTCAAAGTCGGCCCCCGGACCGCCCCCGACTCCATCCGACGCAATTTTTCACCCCGGGTCGATTCCAGACGGTCCGGGGGCCCGAAAGCGGCCCCTGGAAACCGGAAACGCAAAAAGAAACAACCGTAAACCTCGAGACCGCAAAATGCACACGTCCGAGCGATGGCGAGAAACGTAAACGTAAATTGTCGGAGGTCCGCGCGGATTTTCTTGGAACGCCATTTGGACCCCCCGGCGGCGCCTCCGGCGCCGCCCCCGGCGCGCCCCGCGCGCCAGGGAGGGGGGGTCCGGCGCCGATCCAAAAGATCCGCGCGCATGTCGTTGTTTTCCTGGCAAACAGCCCGCGCCCCGCCCCCCACCCCTCCCCCCGGCAGGAGCCCCGTGCCCCCAGGGGCCGCGCCCCGCTTCTTCTGGGGCGGCCCGAAATCCGAAGGGGGGCGCCACTAATTAGGCGGGTCGCCACTTCCTCGAGAAAACGCCGCCCCCTCGGCCCGAGGAGACGGGCACCGCCGCGCGGCCGCCCAGATGCACAGGACGACGCCCAGAAACGCCCAAAAGCCTCCTCGACCTTCGACCCCGGGACCTCGGTTTCTGGGAGGAGAAGTTGGCGACCTCCCTTGGCGCCCCGAGGTAGTTTTTCTTCCCGGGTTCGCGTCTGATGGCCCCGGGGCCTGCAAGCGGCCCCCGCGCGCCGAAATCGAGGAAACACCGTCGAAGACCGAAGGCCGACGAAAGCTTACGAAACGTTTTCGCAAAATCGAAGGCGACTGGAGGACGGGCACCTACATAAGCATAAACTTTCGGAGGTCCGCGCGGATTTCTTGGATCGGCGCTGGACCCCCCTCCGCGGCGCGCGGAGCGCGCCAGGGGCGGCGCCGGGGGCGCCGCCAAGATGGGAAAGCGCCGATCCAGGCAATCCGCCGCGGACCTCCGAAAGTTTATGTTTATGTCGTTTCTTCTTCCTCGACGAGAGGTCTGGGCGACGCCCCCGGGGCTAGTTTTCCCGGGGCACGTGCGCCAGCCGAGGAGGGGCCAGGGAACGCGTTGAAATAGGAAGAGAGGAGCCATGAAATGCGACAAGTATCATGGCGCCTCGCGCGTTATCCACACACACCCTCGTGGACATCACCCCCTTCTTGGCCGAGCTCGATTTTTTCGTCCTGGGCCGTTCTCTCGACGGCCCCGGGGCCGGGAAACGGCCTCTGGAGACCGACGACGTAGAACAAACCGCCCGCGGCAATTTTTTTGGGCGTCGCCAGGAGGTCCAAAACTTGCTCACAGTCGGTCCCCGGACCTCTCCCGGGGCCCCTCTGACACAGTTTTTGCACTCCGGGCCTGTTCTCGAGGGCCCCAGTGCTTTAAAAACGGCACCCGGGAACCAGAAACAACGAAAAACCCGCATCGGGGCGGGGATGGTCTGAGGACGAGCCAACCTTCTGGTGCTGCCCCGCACTCGCATCGCGGCCACTGCGCAGAATAGCCCCCCCGAGAAAATTCCGGCCGGTCCCGACGTCCTTTCCTAAGAGAAGAATAAGGAAACTCCTCCTCCTTTGCCTTCCTTCTCCTCCCCAAACCCCCCGACGTCGCAATTTCGCTGCGACGCGGGCTCCGGAGGTCTGGCCCCCCTCCCCAGGACCGGCTTGTCGACCCGAGTGGTTTTCCGACGATCCCGGGGCCGGGATGCGGCGTTCAGAGGCCGAAGCAGTAAATAAAACACCCGTTGCGCTTTGCTTTGCGTCGCCAGACCGCCCGGGCCCCTCCTCCCCCCTTTGCCCCCGCCCCTCCTCCGCCTCCTCCTCCTCCTCCCCCTCCCCCTCCCCCCGCTCCTCCAACTCCTCCTTCACTTCGCCCTGTCGTTTTCACATCCTCCTCCTCCGCCCCTCCTTCCCCCTCTCCACCCCGCCTCCCCGCCCCTCCTCTTCCTCGCCCGCACTCGGGCGGGCAGCGGCCTGCGCCCCTCCCGCCGCGGGCGTCGGCGCCGGGGGCGTCGCTCAGCCGCCCGACTCAGCGACCTCCCGGGGGGGCCAAGCGGCTGCCGCGGGCGGGGCCAGCGGGGAGGGAGGGAAACACTGAGAGGCAGGGGCGGATTCCCGCAGATTTGCCATCGATTTCGGTTTTTCGTTTTTTCGGTCTCCAGAAACCGTTATCGAGTCATGAGTAGTAATAGTAGTAGTAGTAGTAGTAGTAGTAGTAGTAGTAGTAGTAGTAGTCGTAGTAGTAGTAGTCGTAGTCGTCGTCGTCGTAGCGTCGTCGTCGTCGTCGTCGTCGTCGTCGTCGTCGTCGTCGTCGTCGTCTGTCGTCGTCGTCGTCGTCGTCGTCGTCGTCGCGTCGTCGTCTTCGTCGTCGTCGTCGTCGTCGTCGTCGTCGTCGTCGTCATCATCGTCGGTTCATTTTCGTCGTCGTCGTCCGTCGTCGTCGTCGTCGTCGTCGTGTCGTCGTCGTCGTCGTCTTCGTCGTCGTCGTCGTCGTCGTCGTCGTCGTCGTCGTCGTCGTCGTCGTCTCGTCGTCGTCGTCGTTCGTCGTCGTCGTCGTCGTCGTCGTCGTCGTGCGTCGGTGTCGTCGTCCGTCGAATCGTCGTCGTGTCGTCGTCGTCGTCAACGTCGTCGTCGTCGTCGTCGTTCCGTCGTCGTCGTCGTCGTCGTCGTCGTCGTCGTCGTCGTCGTCGGTAGTCGTCGTCGTCGTCGTCGTCTCGTCGTTCGTCGGCGTCGTCGTCGCGTCGTCGTCTTCGTCGTCGTCGAGTAGTAGTAGTAGTAGTAGTAGTAGTAGTAGTAGTAGTAGTAGTAGTAGTAGTAGTAGTAGTAGTAGTAGTAGTAGTAGTAGTAGTAGTAGTAGTAGTAGTAGTAGTAGTAGTAGTAGTAGTAGTAGTAGTAGCAGTAGTAGCAGTAGTAGTAGTAGTAGTAGTAGTAGTAGTAGTAGAAAAAGAAGAAGAAGTAGTAGTACTAGTAGTAATAGTAGCAGTAGTAGTAGTAGTAGTAGTAGTAGTAGTAGTGGTAGTAGTAGTAGTAGTAGTAGTAGTAGTAGTCGTAGTAGTCACACCAGCCTCTGGGCGACAGGTGGTCTGACGCGATCCCTCTTTGCTCCCCCACAACCCCTTCCCCCCCTTCGGGGGGGGTTTTTACGCCTCGCCCCCCCCCCCCCCCCCCCTGGACCTGCACGGCCAGGAGGCCCCCGATCGGCAGGAGGGCTCATTTTCGTTTCTTGGGGGGGCTACTTTTTGACGCCCCTCGCGATGATCGCGGCCCTCAAGGGGAGTGGTGGGGGGGGGGGTCGAACATAACGGAACCCCAATCATGTGATCGATGGCCTCTACGATGGCCCCAAGAGGCCCCCCATAGCTCCCAAGAAGCCCCCAAGAGGACCGCAAGAGCGCCCCAAGAGGCCCCAAGACGGGCCCAGAGACTCCCAATACTGCCACAAGAGAGCCCACAGACGGCTCATTAAGCCTCCAAGCACCCAAGATAGCCTCCAAGATAGCCTCCAAGACGCCCAAGATAGCCTCCAAGAGGGAAAGGTGGTGCAAGTGAACGGCGCCGACCGGGCGAAGAGATGACCGAGCCGAAAGCGACTCCGAGAGGAGGGGGGGGAGAGAGATCCGCTCAAGGTCGGCCCCTTGGGAGGGTGCTTCGGGCCCACGGAGGCCCCGCGCACCAGCGGTGATGCGCCGCCGCTTCTCCAGCGCCACCGGGACGCCGACCTCCGCGATCGCCGCCGTGACCCGCTCGCGCATGTCCCGGTCGTTTGGCAGACCGAGCTCCTCGGGGCCACCCTGCCTCTTTCCCGTCCGCGCGCTCTCCTCGTGAACCATCCGCGCGGAGCTGCTCCGAAGGCCCTCGTGGCACAGGCCGCCTGCGAGGACCGCCACCCATTTTGGCATACCTCTCACACGGTTCGTGGCCCCATAGGGAGCTCCACCGAAGGCCCCGATGGCACAGGCCGCACGCGGCGACCGCCATCCATTTTGGCACACCCCTCACACGGTTCGTGGCCCCACAAAAAGGTCCATCAAATGCCCCACTGGCACAGACCGCGCGCCGGGGCCGCCACTCATTTTGGCACAGCCTTCACACAATTCCTGGCCCCTCGGAGAGCTCCACCGAAAGCCCCCGCGGCACAGGCCGCATACGGGGGCCGCCACACCCCTCACACGAATCGCGGCCCCACAGGGAGCTCCACCGAAAGCCCCAGGGGCACTGGCCGCGCGCGAAGCCGCCACCCAGTTTGGCGCACCCCTCACACGGCTCTCGGTCCCACAGGGAATTCCACCTAAGGCCCCAGTGGCGGAAGCCACATGCGGGGACCGCCACTCATTTTCACACATCCACCACACGGTTTCGGGCCCCGCAGGGAGTTCCACCGAAGGCCCCGCTGGCACGGACCGCACGCGCAAGCCGCCACTCATTTTGGGCACACCCCTCGCACGGCTCGTGGCTCCACAAGGAGGTCCACCGAAGGCCTCAGTGACACGGGCCGCAAGCGGGGTCCGCCATCCATTTTTGTGCACCCCTCACACGGTTCGTGGCCCCACAGGGAGCTCCACCGAAGGCCCCATAGCACAAGCCGCATGCGGGGGCCGCCACTTGTCGATCATGGATAATCGGAGAGCCCGGCCCGGCCTCCTCGAGTCCTCAGGAGCCTCCGGGGCCGGCCCCGGGCGCCCCAAGGAAGCGGGGGCAAGGCGGGAAGAAGCCAGGGGAGGGGCAGGCTATAAGGGGCGGGGGCGGACATACAAGAAAGGGTAGGAAAAAGGAAGACGCGGACGAACGCCGAAAGTTTCGGCCCACTCCTTGGCGAGGTCCTCAATCATCACGCTCTTGGTCCAAGTCGCCGGGTACTCCGCTATGCACCGTCTCGCGGCAGCGAACACCATCTCGCGGTGCGTGCCAGATGCAGGAGGTCCGCGCGCCGATGGTGCAACGACGCCTCCACCGATAACACGAGGGACAGCCATGGGGGGCTCCACGTGCGATGCCACGGCGCCCGATGCACTACGGGCGGACCACGAGCCCGCGGACCGCTCCTCCCGGCGCGCGCCCCAGCCCGCGGACCACTCCTCCCGGCGCGCGCCCCAGCCCGCGGCTGGGCGCGGCTCGGAAAACGGGCCAGGATGACCCCGGGAGGAGTCCGGAGGCCGGTTTTGAACGATTGTTTTCATTCCGGTTTCAAAAGGATGGGGAGGGGGAGGGGGAGATTCCTGCACGGCGTGGCTTTCTCTCTTTCCTTCTCCTACCGTTATTCCACCTGCTCCTCCTCCTCCTCCTCCTCCTCCTCCTCCTCCTCCTCCTCCTCCTCCTCCTCATCCTCCTCCTCCTCCTCCTCCTCCTCCTCCTCCTGGTTACAATTTGGGCCCCCTGCCCCCGCTGGAGCGAGGGCGGATGCGCCCATGTAGCCCCAAACGCCGGCAGCCCGAAGTGAGGGCGCTAGTGCAGTGCACTCCGCCATTCCTGACCTCCGGTGTCTCGATTGTTTCGAGACGCGGCCCTCAGAAGTCCCGACGACTTCCACCGGGCTGGTTTTCCGTCCCGAGTCGTTTTTTGACGGCCCCAGGGCCCGTTGAGGGCCCCTGGAGGCCGAAAACTGCCAAAAACCTCCGGATGTCTGGGAGGAGCGGGCGGCGGCGAACCCGCTCCATCATGGGCCAAGACCTCCACCGGCGGTTTCAGCCTGCAAAGCCACAAAAGCATGCGGTTGCAAGAACAACAGCTACGCCAACAGGGCAGCGCGCTGGCGGCGCGGGCGAGGCCCCGAGGGCAGGCCGAAGCGGTCCTCCTCGGGAATCATGCACGCGCAAGCTGGCTGACAGTCGGGCCAAGCTGGACCAGGTGGGCAAGGACATCGCCACCCTCAACGTGGACCAGCCCGTGCCAGGGCGGCCAAGTCGGCAGGGGTGCCCACGACGGCCGCGGCTGGCCACGAGGGCATGGCAGCGGCGGCGCAGCAGCTCCAGCAGCGTCGAAAAACCGAAATCAGCGAAAAAAACATCTACGAGCGGGCTCCCTTGGAGGCTTGGTCCACGGGCCGCTCGAAGCTGCCACCGTGCTCATAGATTCCCCCCCAGTAATCACCCCCCCCGGGGACCAGAAACAGACAACTTGCCCCTCCCCCCCCCCCGCACAGCGCGACCCACCCCCGAACTCACCCAGAGGGGGTCCGGGTTTCCCAGAGCGCCCTGTGGAGCGCCGGAACTGCCCCTAAGCCCTCCCAAAAGGCCCTTGAAACAGTACAAAGGCTCAAGTAGCCGACGATGGAACCAAGACGCCCCAAGAGGCCCCCAAGACCGCCCCAAGACGGCCCGAGAGGCCTCCAAGAGAACCCGAAGACAACCCACCTCCTCCTCCACCACCTCCTCCTCGTCCTCCTCCTCCTCCCGACCCGAGATCCGCCCAAGACCTTCCAAGGCCCTTTTCGACGTCCATCACGCGACCATTCGTGTCTCCACGCGCTCCCCGTGATGATAGCGCCGTCCAATTTGTCGGCTGCGGACCATGGGGTGGTTCAAGGGGTCGGCGGATGTGGCGCAAGCCTGTAGAATATACATATATACATGATAAGTAGTTACATATAGCCATACGTATACATTTACGTATGCATGCATGTATGCATAGCCATATATATATATATATATAGATATGTGTATATATATATATATCGATGTACCATATACTTATACGTGTACAGATACACATACACATGCACATAGACCATAACATGCACATGCACATACCTGGACGCACGCATGCACATAAACATATGCATACATAAGAAAATCGTAAAAGTAAACATAAACGTGTACACTTACATACACAATGTATACGTACAAATGTGCATTGATATGCATATATGTATGCGTAGGTATAGACAGCTGCTGATAAAACATGTACGCATGCGTACCTGTGCACAATAGCTAGTACGTATGGTGATGTACGGTGGTCGCGATGACGTTCATACTAACTCTAGAGGAGTACGACCTCGCATCCCGATCCCCCTCAGCGCCCGCCTCGACGTCCGTCGAGGAGGCGCTGCCCTCGGCCGAGTGCTCCCCGGCACTGCCGGCGCCGCCGTCGCCGTCGAGGCTGCCTCCGGCCAGCTGCTTCACCTCGGGGCGGCGCGCTGCGGCGGGCCACGGCCTGGCCGCGGCGCCGAGGCGAGGCGCGCCTCCAACCCCGCGCCCCGCGCCCCGCGCGCCCCGCGCCCCGCGCGCCCCGCGCCCCGCGCGCCCCGCGCCCCGCGTGCCCCGCGCCCCGCGCGCGCGGTGCCGCATGTCTGTTCTTAGCAGGGTGGTCGGGATGACCCCGGGCAGCAAGGGAAGCTCGGGGCGCGACCGGACGGTTGGAAACCAGATCGGGGAGGAGCGATTCAAAGCAACATGTCGTTTTTCGTCTGGGTCGCCGGCGGCGGTAGTTATGGCGGCCTCGACGGCGACGGCGACGGCGACGAAGAACCGGAATATTTGTTGAATCTTCCACTCCCCACCCAGGCCCTGCGACCCCTCCCAAGAATTTGTCCATGGCTTGGACGCATTACGTAATCGACCGTGGACCCAAAGTTACCCATCGACCCAGGGCGGTCTTCGGCGGTCGTCGGACCATTTTCGGCGGCCTTCGATGGTCTTCGGCGGTTTCCCGCGGCCTTCGGCGGCTTTCGGCGCAAAGGCAGGAAGGTTGTGTTCAGCAAGGGGTCCATGATCGAACACCTAACGTTATGTCGGGCCTGTCCCCCTACAGGGGGATTTTCAACGAAAAATCAAAAACACCCCAAAAATACCCCAAAAAGGCAAAAACAATACAAAATAAAAAAAATATCCCCGGACTATTTTGGGATTATTTCTTGGCTATTTCTGGGGTACTTTTTTGTTTTTCGTCGTAAATCCCCTTGTAGGGGAACAGGCCCGACTTAAACCTCACGAAAGGCTCCTCGCTGAGCAGTTCTTGAGGGGGGGGGGGAACGCGCTCCTGGCCATCGCTCGGACGTGCATTCCCTGTGTTTTTGCTCGGTTTCGTGCGTGGCTTTGTTCGCCACATGATCAAGGATGCCCCTCGACGGTCCTCGCCGAAGGAAAAATGCACACGTCCGAGCGATGCCAAGCCGTCTCCCACTCGTCTCGCGCCCCCCATGCGGCGGACAGCCCAGTGTTGTCGCCACAGTGCGACCCTGCGGCGTGCCGGACGAGAACTGCAGCACAGGTCGCTCCAGACACTCAGGGAAAGGTCATCCACCCATCCTCACACTCCTCCTCCTCCTCCTCCTCCTCCTCCTCCTCCTCCTCTCATCCTCAATCATCATCATCATCATCATCATCATCATCATCATCATCATCATCATCATCATCATCATCATCATCATCATCATCATCATCATCATCATCATCATCATCATCATCATCATCATCATCATCATCATCATCATCATCATCATCAGCATCATCATCATCGGGCGGGCGGCGAACGTCGGGCGGGCGGCGCGGCTGCCCAAAGCGGCCGCCTCGATGGGGCCGACCGGGGAGCGAAGCTGCTCCTCCGGCCACGGCGGGCCTCGGCAACGGACGGGCCCTCCGGCACAGCTCTGGCCCGGGCGGCCCGGGCGCCTCCTGCTCCTCCTCCTCCTCCTCCTCCTCCTCCTCCTCCTCCTCCTCCTCCCCCTCCTCCCCTCCTCCTCCTCCTCCTCCTCCTCCTCCTCCTCCTCCTCCTCCTCCTCCTCCTCCTCCGCCTCCTCCCCGCTCCTCTCTTGCCCTCCCCGCGGGTCCTCTTCCCCAGGCGGGAGACGGCAGAGGCTGGGCGGTCGTGCAAGTGGACCGCTTCGGAGCCCTGCAGGCCGCGGCAGTCGGTGCCCGTGCCGCTGGCCATGGCGCCCAGCCAGACGGCGCCAGACGCAGAAGACTGGGCTTAAGTCGGGCCTGTCCCTCTACAGGAGGAAGATTCGAAAACAGTCAAAAACCAGTCTGGGGACGACTTGTTTTAGCATCTTGTTAGCCATTCGGAAACATGTTGTTCACTATCTCAAATGTTTCGCCCAGAATCCCCCCAAAGGGGTACAGGCCCGACCTGAAGACTAGGCTGCCTTCCTGCACCGACGTGTGGCCATGGGCCCCATGGAGCTGCACATCGCGCGCCGAGGGCGCTCGCGGCGGGGCCTGGGGCGGGCACGGCCGCCTCGGCGCGGAGGCCGCACCCGCGGGGGCCCTTCGGGGGTGCGCTCGCGGCGGACGATCTCGAGGCGCACGGGGCGCTTGCGCACTCCACGCCTGCCGAGGTGGAGGCGGGCCGCGCGACACACGGGGAAGGGCGCTGCAGCGGCCACGCGGCCGAGCTGGCCAGGCGAGGCGTCAGCCTCCGCCCCCTCAGCACCGAGGACGAGGAGCTCTTGAAGGGCCTGAAGGCGCTGGCTGAGGAAGGGGCTCGCTGGAGCGCGAGGCGGGCAACCTCGCTCACCGACCAAGGCCGCTCGGACCATGAGGATGTGCTGCGTGGCACGAAGCAGGAGGCTGGAGGCCCAGAAATTGGCACCAACACCAACGCAAGGCGTTGCCTCCACAGGGGGAAGATGATCCTAGATGTCGGTGCTGGTGGTAATATTTAGGTCACCTCGGCAGCCAGAATATTACCACCATCACCGAGATCGGGATCGTCTTCCCTCGGTGGAGGCACACCGCCGATCTTGGTGTTGGTGTCTACCTCTAGGCCTGCGAGGAGGGGGCCTCTGGCCCGAGCGCAGAGGAGGTGGAGGGCGCCACGGCCGAGGCAGAGGTCGACTCCGACGCGGCGCCGGGCTCGCAGCCCCCGCCTGCCGAGGAGGAGCCCCAGAACGCCCACATGGACACGGCGGGGCCGCCGCTCAGCCTCCACCACAGCTGGGGCGAGCTACAAGATCGGGCAGCGAGCACCAGCAAACACGCCCTGCTCCGCTGCGGCGTGGGGCAGCGGCGGGGAGCGAGCATTGTCTTCTATCTGGGCTGCCGGAGAGCTTGGACGGGCAGCACGCCGGGCAAAGTCCTGAAGGTGCGCTGCGAGGGGCTCAAACCCAGGCTGGCCGCAAGCACCTGCGCCTCATTAGCCAGAGCAGAGGCCGCGCACCCGGCCAGCCCACCAGCATGAGACGCTGGGGGGGGCCGAGGGCATTCAACGTCAAGGAGACGGGAGTGCTGGAGAGCGCCTTCGGCGGCACTCCCACCGCGCACGCCCGCGCGGCAACTGCGGCTCCGGTGGGGCGCGCCGTGACCGAGCCGCTGCTAGGGATCGCTGCGCGGCCGCATCTCCTCGCGGCCTTCGGCCTGCACACGGCAGACCTCGAAGGAGTGCAGGTTCGGGGCAGACGGGAGGTCCTGCCCCCAGGCTCTGAGGAGGAGGAGTTCGGGTCCGACGAGGAGCAGGTGGAGTTTTACCTGGTCTCGGGCACGTCCTGAGGCTGCCCCAGCACGGGGCCGCACCATTACCATTACTTCTTCCCCTCTCCTCCCTTTTCCTTTCCTCCTCTCCTCCTCCTCCTCCTCCTCCTCCTCCTCCTCCTCCTCCTCCTCCTCCTCCCCCTCCTCCTCTTCCTCCTCCTCCTCCTCTTCCTCCTCCTCCTCCTCATCCTTCTCCTCCTCCTCCTCCTTCAACTCCCAGACGGGCCTCGGCCACAGACGGAAGGGGAGCGGACTGGAGACAAAGAGCCCCCACCCCCTCCCTAGCCTGAAGCGGGCCTCACCTCGGCCCCCCAGGAGTCTATCACCACCATCATCATCACCACCGTTTCCATCATCGCCACCACCACCGTCATCATCATCATCATCATCATCATCATCATCATCATCAGCAGCAGCAGCAGCAGCAGCAGCAGCAGCAGCATCACCATCACCATCATCCGCCGCATCGCCACCATCATCATCATCAAAATCCTCATGAGCATCATCACCATCGTCAACATCGTCATCACCATCATCATCATCATCATCATCATCAGCATCATCATCATCATCATCATCATCATCATCATCATCATCATCATCATCAGCAGCAGCAGCAGCAGCAGCATCATCATCATCATCATCATCATCATCATCATCATCATCATCATCATCATCATCATCATCATCATCATCATCATCATCATCATGGGCATCATCATCATCCTCACCAGCAGCATCATCATCATCAACATCATCAACACCAACATCATATTTGTAGTCGCCTTGCCTCGTCCGTCCTCGGGCACGCACTGCCTGGCTAGAGTCGCTCTCCAGTCACTGGTGGCCACCACACCCGCGCGGCGGGTTGTAGCCACAACAGGGTGTGTCGGGCCATCGGGTAACCGATGCGGCTGCAACGCGCGGTCGCGGCTCCCTGTCAGATTCCAACAACGTGCTGGTTCTTCATCCCATGCATTCCTACGATGCGCAATCGATGATCATCATGGTCCACCTTCAATACACGCGTCGCTTCAATGGCCGAGGTGGGGTTCCCGTTGCTGCCTTTGTCTATGATAGCTTCTTCCTTCCACGCGGTGCGCACTCCTCGCCCGTCGCGCTGTAGGGTGGAAAAATCACCTCTGCTGCTCTGCTGCCTGGGCCCCAGGTGTCCCTCGTGCGCTGGCGGCGCTGGCGCCGCAGTCAACGGGCTCGGCCTTCCCATCTGGCGCCACTGCGCAAGCAGCGTCGTGTTACCTGCCTCGTGGTTTCCTGGATTGCAGTCTCGCGCTCTGATGTTGGCTACCAGCTCTACGTGCCATGTTGTTGTGGTTCTTCGGGGTGTGCACTATCGTGGGGCATTTCAACAGGGAGCGTTTCATCGGGGAGTGCTTCGTTGAATGCTTCATCATGGAGTGCTTCATCGTGGCGTGCCTCATCGCGAGGCGCCGCACCGTGATTTCATCAAGGAGCGCTTCATCAGACAATCCTTTGTTTAGTGCTTCTGGAGTGCTTCATCGTGGCGTGCCTCATCGCGACGTGTTTCACCAAGGAGTTTTTCGTGGACGGTGGTTCGCTGTTGGGTATGTTATCGGGGCGTGCTCCATCGTGGCGTGGATCACACACGCGTGCTTCACCGAGGCGTGTCTCCTAGCGGCGTGCTTCACCGAGTGCGTACGTGTTACATCGTGGCAGATTTCACCTGGGAGGATTTCATCGAGGGTTTCCTCGTCGTGGCGCGCTTCATTTTAGAGTGGTACATCGTGGAGGGTTTCTTCGGGTGTGCTTCACTGCGGCGTGCTTCATCGGAGGTGTGCTTCACAGAGGCGTGCTTCATTGTGGCGTGCCTCAAGGTCGCGTGCTTCCCGGCGGCGTGCTTCGTGGAGGCGTGTTCCCCGAAGTGCTTGACCACGGAGTGTTTCGCAAAGAAGTGCTTCACCAACGAGTGTTCAACCAAAGAGTGCTTCACCAGGGAGGGCTTCACCAAAAAATGCTTGCCGCGGAGTGCTTCACCCTGGAGCGCCTTGGCGTGAACCGGGTCATCGTAGAGTGCTTCAGCAAAGGATGCTACGTGGGGTGCTTTATCGTAGAGTGCTTCATCGTGGAGTGCTTCACCGTCGTTGCCGGCTTCATCGTGGAGTTCTTCATCGGGGAGTGCATCATCGATGAGGGCTTCATTACGGGGATTCTTCATGAGGCGTGTTTCACCGTGGCGTGCTTCATCGTGGCGTGCTTCCCCAATCCTTCTTCACGAAGGCGGGCCTCAGAAGACGTGCTTCACGGAGGCGTGTTTCATCAATACGCTCCTTGTGTTGATTTTTTGTCTGTGGGGCATCATCTCTGTAGTCGCCTTGCCTCGTCCGTCCTCGGGGACGTACTGCCTTGCTGGAGTCGCTCTCCAGTCACGCGTGGCCGTCACACCCGCGCAGCGGGGTGCAGACGCAACAGGGTGTGTCGGACCATCGGGTAACCGATGCGGCTCCACCACGCGGCCGCGGCTCTCCGTCAGAACCCAACAACGTGCTGTTTATACATCTCAGGTATCCCGACTATACGCATCCGATAGTCAGCATCACCACCACCACCACCACCATCATCATCATCAGCAGCAGCATCATTGGAATCATCGTCATCAGCATCATCATGGTCAACACCATCACCACCACCAGCATCATCACCACCATCACCACCATTAGCAGCATCATCTTCATCATCACCACCATCATCATCAACAAAAGCATCACCATCATCGTCATCTTCGTCTTCGGCCAGATCGTCTTCAGAAGCATCACCCTCATCGTGGTCGCCGCCGCCATCATCATCCGCAACGTCTCCAGAAGCATCATCAGAATCGCTCCTGAGCAACTTCATCACCACCACCCGAAAACCTCCTGCCCACCCTCATCACCATCATCCGAAAGGCCAACTACGGCTGCCTGTACCTGCGCTTGAAACGGAATTCGAAACCCGAGGTCCAGGACTACCGCGAGAAACAGAAAGAGACTCGAGGCCCAGCGAATCTCCCACGCGGTTGCCCCCTGTCTGACCATCATTACTCCTCACCGCTCCTCGCCCTGCTCGCGGTCGCCAGTCCGGCGCTCGCGAAGATGCTGATGGCGACGAGGATCACGCTTACCAAGCTCATGGCGCCGCCCCGGCCGCTGCCGCCCGCGACGGCCTCCTGGCCGCGGGGCCCCAGTCGGAGGCCCCAAGGCCTCCGCGAGGAGGAGGAGGAGGAGGAGGAGAAGGAGGAGGAGGAGGAGGACGAAAAGGAGGAGGAGGAGGAAGATGATGATGAGAAGGAGGAGGAGGAGGAGGAGGAGGAGGAGAAGAGGGACCTTCGCGAGGAGGAGGTCGAGGACCTCCGCGAGGAGGAGGAGGAGGAGGAGGAGGAGGAGGAGGAGGAGGAGCGCCCAGGCCCATCGTGCCTCCATGTCGCTCGGGTCTTGGCTCCTTCAACACGGGCTACAGACGGTGAGCAGCTGTACGACAGGACCGCGGCGGGCTGCCCAGCTGGCTTCACAGAGCGAGGTCTCGCGGAGGACGGGAAAAGGACGAAAACGACGCTATTGGGGGCACTCGCCCCTCTCCTTGCCCATCCTCCCCATGTCCCCCCCCCCTCCCTCCAGGAGGGGCAGGACGAGGGGGAGGAAGGCAAAGAGGGGGGGAGGAGGAGGAAGATGAAAGGGAGGCGGAGGAATTGGAGGAGGAGGAGGCAGAGGAAGGAGGAAAAAAGACAAGGGGGGGACTTTCGCCTTCACCATGATCCGCATGACCAACAACTGGCAAGTGGCTCATTCGATCGCTTGATTGAGCGCCGTTTCCCATCTTTGTGTAAGCACTTTGCCCTCTATTCGGGCCGCCACTTCACACGAGACCTACCAGGGACCGCCACACCCGCGTGAAGGACTGCTCGCTCTGAACTCCGCGGCCGCCTCCGTCCCCCCCCGCCATTCGCCGCTCCGCATTCCGACCTAAGCCTGCCCGCGCCGTGCGATGCTGTCCTCGATATGAGATGTGTTGCGCTATTTCCGCGCAGCGGCCGTTTCCGGGGGGTCGGGAGGAGGTTGGGGCCCCGGGCAGCGGCAACGTTCTGGCGGCTGGGGCACGACGCGGCGGGGGTGCGCTGCGATCGCCATAACATGCGCGCATGTGGGGGCGGGGTCCAGGCCGCTCCCCCACCCCGCCCCAACTACGATCGTTACCATTACCGCGGGGGGGGGGGGGGGGAGGGGGGAAGCAGGGCTTGGCCTGGTAACGACCGCTACGCGCTAGAGGATGAAACGCAAGACCCTCCCTTTTACCAGGTTTTTGCGCCAGTCGGACGTGCCGGGCGGGGGCAGGGCGTCGAGGGGCACGCGGCGCGGCTGCGTCCGTGGACGCTGCGTCAGGGAGGACGCCCGCGCAGAACGCCACAATGGAGGCGAGGGCGCCTGCGCGCGGCCTTGCGCGGGTGGCCTACTGCGCCGGCGTCGGCGCAGGATGGGGGGAGAGGAGGGCGCGCGGGGAGGGAGGAGGAGGAGTAGGAGGGAGGAGGAGGAGGAGGAGGAGGGAGGGAGGAGAGGAGGGAAGGAGGAGGAGAGGGGGGGGGGGGGGGGGGGGGCTGGACGGCTGCGTCAGGGAGGGCGAGGGCGAGGAGAAGGTGGCGAGGGGCGCCGCCGAGGTCGTGCCCCGGGGGCTCGGGAGAAGCGGTGGGCATGAGCATACTCTGGCGGTGGAAGGGAAAAGGAAGAGGAGGAGGAGGTGGAGGAGGAGGAGGAGGAGGAAGAGGAGGAAGAAGGAGGAGGAGGAGGAGGAAGAGGAGGAGGAGGAGGAGGAGGAAGAAAGAGGACGCACTGGACGCATCGGAGAACGGAGCGAGCTCCCTCGCGGCCAGCGATAGCCTGATGCTTGGACCAAGCCTGAAAGATGGTCCTCCCTCTGGGACTGCGTCTCGCGAGCCTCTCTGCTTCGTTCTCGGCGGCGCCGATTCCACCGCCTCCCGAGGACCCGAAAATCCGTGCAACGCAGCAACCCTATACATGTCAAGCGGCTCTGGGATCTCCAACCCATACTTGGCCAGACCCGGGCCAGAACCAGAACTCATTCTCTCGACTCGCAGCTCCCCCGCCCGCTGAACTCGGAACTCGACCGACGGAGTGCACAGGGGTCCAAGCTTAGGAGGCGGGGATAAGGTCGAATTCGGATGGAGCGGCAGGGCTCAACCCCTCCGCGGGAGCCTGAGACTGACCTGCACAGTGATAACATTCTACCGGCAACGCATCGCGACGCCGGAGGCGCTCTCTGGTAGCACAACGGGCACTCCATTCGCTGGCAGCTTCCGCAGCGAGCAGAGACTCATCCAACTCAAAATCCAAGAAAACATCAGCTGTGCTGCCGACTCCGTCGGCATCATGAAAACCAAAGGCACGCAGCCAGAAGTGCAAGCGGCTCTGCCAGACGGCCACCTGCTCCACGCGCATCTCACACACTTCTACGAAGCACTCCTGTTCCTCCAGGACTTCCCACAAGCAGGCGCCTTCCTTGGCCCCCTCGTTGGCCAGCCTGTTACCGCTGAGCTTCCACATGTCGTCAACAGGCGAAGCTTCCTGCAGCGACCGATGGACCTGAACTTTTCCCACCGTTGCGGACGAACTGGCCTTAGACCACCACGCCGTCCGCATGCGGCGCCGCCCACTCCGAGGACCCAGCGCTTTGGCCGAATCAGCGGCGCGCGAGGCAGACCCTGCCTGCACCATCGCTGAAGATTTTTACTCTTCTTGACCCCCAGTGTGCGTGCCCGGAGCCTCTAGAGGAGCCTGCCCACAACCCTGGGGCCGACGGGGCGCCGAGAGGCCCAGGGATTCACATGTTCGACGACCATCTGCATTTAACGGGCGAAGAACGGTATAACATAAACTGTTTCGCCGTCGGGGTTTATACCCCTTACGGTGGCACCGTAAGGGGTATAAACTTTCCAGCCGCCCAGGGGCAGGTGGCCCCGACGGCGAAACAGTTTATGTTATACCGTTCTTCGCCCGTTAAATGCATGGTCTGAACACATCGTCCGCCCAAAGACCAGCGCGCTGCGGTGCACCATCTCGCCAAGCTCGGCCACCCGAATTCTGCAAGGGCGACAGGGCGGCGCGCGGGAGGGGGGGCTCGAGCGCGCGAAGAGCAGCGGAGCGGCGACGTGCACGCCGGCGGGAAGAGAGGAGCAGTCGGTGATATTGCACATTCCTCTTGGCCCCTGCAGTCGGGGGCGTTGACCTAAGGAGCCCAAAAGAAGGAACGAGGCCCCATTTTCCCATGAGTTAAACTTCGATTTCCGATCAAAAGCACAAGAAAAACCAAAGGCAAACTGTAAAACAATCAAGGAACACCGAGCTCCTCCCCAACGAAAAGGGTTCCTTAGTCAGCGCCCCGACTGTAGTGCGCGCCCAGAGCCTCTCGAGGAGCCCGCCCGCAACCCTGGGGCCGACAGGGCGCCGAGAGGCTCAGGGGTTCACATGTTCGATAACAATCTGCACGGTCGGAACATCGTCCGTCCAAAGAACAGCGTGCTGCGATGCACAATCTCTCCAAGTTTGGTCGCCCATAATGTCGCCCATGTGGCACTCTGGGACGCATGTCACGATCAAGGTGGACGAGTGAGGGCACGAGAACATCAGCTTCGAGTCTGACCAGCAACCAGAAGGGCACAGGATGTCACGTCTCACGCACAAACTGGAGCACAGTCGAGCTGAACTCTGCCGCCGAAAGGTTCACTCTCGAGATCTGCTGCTGCGTCAGCTTATTGCACTGTTTTGCGAGTTTGGCATGATGCTCATGTCCGGTCACACTCTTTTTGGCTGCCCAGCGTCCTCGCCGCCGTACCTGCTCCAGGGTCCGATGATTGTGATGGACGTCATGCGATGGCGCCGTGTGCCGCGCCGTGTGCGGCGCGATGTTGAGCTTGCCGTAGTCCAACGCCTACGCGGCAGCCTGGAAGTCCTTCTCATGCCGGCTGAGGCCCAAGTCGAGGAAGAGACGGGTCTTCGGATCGGTGGCCCCGCAAGGCCTCCTGGCACCAGGGTGGAAGGCGCGACGCGAGGCCCTTGCCAGAAGGGCTGCCGCAGTCTCTGGAGCCCACGGCCTCGAAGGCCAACTGGCAATCTCGCGAGCCGACCGCTCGACAACCTTACTGGCCACATCGACGAAGTCGCCCCTGCCAAAGACGGCGATGCCGCCCGACAGGAAAGCCTGCTCCTCAACCTCGAGATACGAGAAGGCCTCCGGGTGGCCCCTCGCCTTATCAAGATAAGCCTCAGTCTCCAGTACGAAGCGCGCAGCCTGGCCACAGCTCTGCGGCACCAGTGCATGCACAGGAGAGTTCGGCTTGGTGCAGCTGTAGCAGCGGAGTGTTGCTGACGGGAGCGCCGCAAAGACGCGTATGTTTATACATCTGCAGGTTCGCAAACCCGTGCCCGACGCGTGCTCGACGAGCACATCACCTTACTGTCATTAGCAGTGGAAGTACCTCCAAGACGCCGAACATTGGCTGGAGCAGGAGGCGGCGGCGGCGGCACACACACAGACAGACAGACAGACAGACAGACAGACAGACAGACAGACAGACAGACGGACGGACGGACAGACAGACAGACAGACAGACAGACAGACAGACACAGACAGACAGACAGACAGACACACACACACACACAACACACACACACACACGCACACACACACACACACACACACACACGCACATACACACACACACACACACACACACACACACGACGACAATTGAGGTGGCTGAGACATGTGCCACGGCGCCCACCCCACTGGCCACGAAACCCCAGAACGAGACCGATCCGAACGCTGTGGGTCTGGCTGTAGCGGTAGAGGCGGCCAAGGGTCATCCTCTCCTACCTGCTGTGCCCTGCGTTTGTCACGTCCCTTCTTTCCTTTACCCATCATGGTTCACTGACCGACCATTTTCGCTCTTCAATCCTGCTGAGGACGTCGGAGCCCAGCCGTAATCACGTGGGAATTGTCGGAGGCCCTGAAAACCCGAAGCCCTCTCTCGGAGCTCGGACAGTCGGAGCCCAAACGGCTAGGAGGAGGAGGAGGAGAAGAAGAAGAAAGAGGAGCAGGAAGAGGCGGAGGAGGAGGAGGAGGAGGAGGAGGAGGAGGAGGAGAAAGAAGAGGAAAAAGGAGGGGAAGGAGGAGGGGGAGGAGGGGGGGGGGAAGGCGCCCTTCCCCCCCGCGGCCATCCTTCACCGCACTGGCCGCGACGCCCACGTACACGTTGTTGCAGATGGGCGGCAGCATCCCCAGGAGGGACGCGGCCACGTACCTGGCGGCCGCGCGCGCGCGGGGGCGGCGCGAGGCGCGGCGGCCGTGCGCGCCAGGCCTCCCGGAGAGGCGCTCCGACCTCGGGAGGCCTTCGGGCAGCCGCGCCTCGCCGGGGAGCGCCGCGGGGACGCCCGGGCTGCCGTGGCCCGTCCCAGAGGCGCCGCGGGAGGCCCCAGCTCTGGCCCGAGGACCACCCGCGCCCAGGCAGCCGGCGCATGCCATCGCTCGGGCGCCCATGCCCCGCGCCTGCGCCAGCTTCGCGGGTCCACGCCGGAACAAAAAAAAAAAAAAGCTCCTCCATGGTCCACGCCCCCAAAAGGTGCAGACGTCCGAAGGATGCCGAAGGCGAGGGGCATTTTTCAGCCATCCTTGACCTTGGGCCCTGGGGGCCGTCTGCGCGCTCCCAGGGCCGTCGGACGTGGATCGGGGACGACGAGCTGCCCCCAGGAATGGGGCCACGAGGAGGGCGGCTCTCTGAGAGCGTTCTGTTGTTGTCCGCGATAGCGGAGGTGACCGGCCTCGGCAGCCCCTCCCGCCGCCCCAGGTAACGCCACGATTCGTGCTGACCTCCGAGGTGTCTTCCCTTGTTCCTAGACATTCCCAGACGGCGCCGGCGCGAAACGTGACGTTTCCGGCCCCCCGCCCCCCTCCCCCGTTCCCCTGGTAGCGCCGGCGATCGCCCAGGAGCAAAAGATGCTCTGCCAGAAGCCCAGAAGAGAGCGAGCGACAGAAGCAAGGCACCGGAGCAAAGCCTCCAGCCCGCGCGGAACCCCTCCTGGAGCTGCGCTGGCCCCCCCCCCCCTTCCCTGGCGCGCTGGGCGCCCCCGGAGGCGCCTGCAGAGGGGGGGGGGGGCCGAGCGCCGACCCGCGGAAGCCGCGCGGGCGCCCGCGAGCTGCATGTCTGCAGTCGGACTTCACCGGGCAGGGCACGCGAGAGGGCCAAAGGGCCCTTCCGAGGGCCCCAGTGCCGTAGGAACTGCGGGAGGCATGGGCCGCGAGACGCGGGACGCAAAGGCGCCCTTGATTTGGCAGGGTCGACCTGCTAATCCGGGCCGACCATATATATATATATATATATATATATATATATTCTCATACGCACCTCTCCGAGGGAGTAGAGCTCAGAGGGGATTAATGCGTCCGTGCGTGCGTCCGTCTTTGATTTTAATGGCCGTTTCGCTAGGGACATCCTCGAAATTCTGAAAATGGGTGGCACCCCTCACGCAGATCGTGAAGGAGAGGTCCAAAAACACATAGGAATTTCAACATTTTAACATAAAACCTTCAAAAACACATGGTAATTTCAATAATTTTGACCCCGATTCTCAGAGAATGGCGGTTTCGCCTGAGGCATCCCCCTAAAATCGAGCCCCAGACCCCTCCTCGGAGCCTCCTGGGGGCCTCCTGGAACCTCCTGGGGCCTCCTGGGGCTTTCTGGACCTTCTGGTACCCCAGACCCCGCCTCGGAGCCTCCTGGAGTTCTCCTGGGCCTGCTGAGGCCGCCTGGGGCCTCCTGGGGCCTCCTGGGGCTTCAGAACTACATGCACACACAGAGACACAAATCACGCCCAACACATCACACGCTAGACAAACATAACATACACACACACACAACACCGACAACACACAAAAAGCACGCACCACACAAAGCACACATCACACACACACACAACACTCACAATCCTGGGGCCTCCTGGAGCCTCTTCTGGTATCCAAGTCGGGCCTCCTGAGGCTTCCTGGGGGGCCCTGGTACACACATCGCAAGGTGTGGCAACCCCACTTGCGCTCGAGTGCGACTTCGCTGTTGCATGTCACTCCTGCTTCAAACGCCCCTTCAGCTTGTTGTATGAGCCTGGGCACACACGTGCCACTTGTATATATATATATATATAACTAGAGTCAAAGATCAACCAACTGACAAGTAAAACAACGAGTCAAATAGCATGATAGCATGATCCACACCTGGTTGCGATGTACTACGACTGGTAACTGGCATCGAACCAGTACCACTTGTACCTGTGCGTTGCTTGCCCTGCCCTTCTCTGGAGCCCCGGCGGCGCCTCCGGCGCCGCCCCTGGCGAGGCCCGCGCGCCGGGAGGGAGGCCCAGCGCGCAGGCCCGAGAGACCGCCGCGCGGGCCTCCGCGGGTCTGGCGAGGCCGCCGTTTGGGCTGCCCGGCCTGAGGCAGGGAGGGCTCTGAGAGCTCGAGGTCTGTCGATGCCGCCCTTGGGCTGTTCGGTCGGAGGAGGAGGAGGAGGAAGAGGAGGAGGAGGAGGAGGAGGAGGAGGGGAGGAGGAGGAGGGAGGGAGGAGGAAGGAGGAGGAGGGGTAGGGGGAAAACAAACCTACCTCGCTTTTGACCACCCTCGCTTCCAAGAGATGCCAAACGATGCCAAAGTGCAGCCTGTGCTGGTCAGGCCGCTTGACGAGGAGGCGCGGTGGTATGGCTTGGTTTTGCCTGGGAGCGAAAGCGGGGTAGGTAATTCACGCTCTGACTTGGGCTGTTCGGCCGGAGGCTGCAGGGCTCTGAGAACTCGGGTGGCCGCTCGGGAGCAGGCCAGCGCAGCGAGGAGCAGTGGACGCTAGTCTGCTCCTGTTCTCGTTCTGCCCGCGTCCCCCAACGAAAAAAAGCTGTGCGGAGACGGCCGCAAGCGAACATGGAGGCCTCCCTGATGGGGTCCGAGTATATGGGGTCCAAAAATCGCGCCGCATCGCCGATGCATCCAGGAGGCATCGGCGACGTTGGCGATGCATCGGCGCCGTCGGCGTGGCAAAGATCGGGCTCCACATCGAGCCGCATCGCTGTTGCATCGGCGATGCGGCGCGATCCTCTCATCCCATCTGTGGCTTACGCTAGACAAGCGCGTTCCACTACTCGCAACGTAACTACTCGCAAATGGTATCTGCCGCGGGGGAGGATTCACGATCCGTTACGCCGAGCCAAACATGTACTTTTGTTCGAACGCTTGCGTGTAGGCACTTTGCGAGTAGTGGAACGCGCTGGGTGACACGCGGGCCGCCAGCGCGGCACGCCAAGTTGGAAACGAGGGCGCTTACGCGCGACCTTACGCGAGACGCTTACGCGCCAATCGCAAGGACGTCCACTCCGTGCATGTTTCGATTTCGCGCGCGTCTTTGTTCGCAGCAGGAGCCAAGATGTTCCTCGATGGTCCTCGCCGAGAAAAAACGCACACGTCCGAGCGATGTCACGCGATTTTCTGCGAGGCGGGGATTCATCCAGATCCACCGCCTGGGAACC